CAATTGCGGACTGCAAACCTGAGCGGCACCTGGAAGCAGAAAGAGGAAGCATTGAGCAACCCTAAAGAGTTCTGCAGCTGTGAGTCTGGACTGCAAATCCCAGCGACCTCAGGGGCAGCAGGAAGAGGAAGTGAACATACAGCCCATTCTAGCTACATGCCCTAGCACCCCCCAGCTTCTGGCCTGAGCCACTGCAGGCATGTGGCTGAATTTCCTGAACCAAAAGTGAATGTGTCCAGTTGTTTCTCAGTTAGTTTCTGCATCGTACACTAAGCTGCAAAAACTGTACCAATCCAGCCTCGGGCATTTGACTGTCTGTATGTAGCTTGAGTGAGACAGCCTTGCCCCAAAAGGACTCCTGATGTGGCTGAGGTTAGGCCAAGCAACACAGCAGTGCTGGGAAGAAGCATCAGACTGGGAAGCAGTTTGGCTGGAGATCCTGGACCCAGCATATTGCTGCCAACCTGAAGTGAGATGCATGAATTCTATGGTGGTGCCTACTGTGGGCCACATAAATGCCCAGGATTAAATTAGATGGAAACACGCATGTTAATTTGGCTTCTGCTTTGGGTGATCTCTCCTTGTACAAGGTCACTGGCACTATGTTCAGTACCAGGATCGCCTGGCCTGGCCAGTGTCCTAGCAGCTAGAAGGAAATGATTCATAAAACCTGCCTCTCAATGTCCTATCATCCTTGGTGATCTGAGTTCACATGCACCAGCTTGGTGAATAAGTCATCACAATGGCATAACGTGACCTGATGGCAGTAAGCAGGGATAGTGCATATCCACAAGCCTGCAATTTGCTAGCCATCAAATATATGTGGCTGGCTTGGCAGATCTAAAATTACAGTGCAAGCAGGAACCGAAGGTTTTACAGGAGAAATTATTATTGTCGGTGTTTTATGGAGAAAATAACCCTGTAGAATGTATTTTAAGGTAGTAGCTTAGACAGGAGCATGATAACATCATAAACCATAAGGGGAAAACTTGAGCCATTTATAAACATCAGGGAAAAAATGAGAGTGAATTACTGCCATCTAGCCATTCCTGATTATTTGTTGTCCGAAATGATATGTTCGCATTTGCGTATCAATAGTTTTTAAATTCTTTTTTTAGCCAGATTTTGCAAGTGAAAAACACACAGTGTGCGCCAGGTTAAAAGAATGAAAACCCACAAATATATACAAAATGGCAACAAGAGAATGCATCTATTTAACCAGCCCGCTGTCGAAGATTAACAATGATTCAACCACAGGCTGAGAGGGGAATAATAAAGTCTGCACTGCCTTAGACTGCAGTACCAGCCTATATGATCCCTTGCAGTAGTGGGTGAGCCCATTAGCGGTCTATCTTTCAGAAGCTACTAGCGGTCTGACAGAGGGGTGGTGTATGTGTTATATTTGCTTGGTAAATATAGGCCCTGGGATCCCACTGTGTGCCTATGTGATTCTTTTATGTTACATGTAAGCTAGGGACAAAAAAAGACACACAACCTGGTACAAGTGATCAGAAACCAGTTCACACAACAGAAATTCATTACACATAAACCACTTTCAAAATGGCCAAAACTGGTTTAAAACAAACTTGGATAGATGTAGTATCAGACTTAACTGATTTAGGTTCAATCAGATTATTGAACTTCTGTCCCAGATCCCCTCCAGATTCAAATTAACTCACGGTCCCCCAGCTTCCCAGGATGCTTTGCATCTCCCCTGCAAACTCCCCCTCCTCCCTTGTAGGGTGGGCAGCTAGCCTTGGCCCAAGCTGTCTGCTCCAGCCGAGCAGGGAGGTGTGCTCTAGCACCCCCTCCCCCCCCCAGCTTCTGGCCTGGGCCACCGCAGGCAAGTGGCTGCATGCCTGGAATCAAAAGTGAATGTCTGTTCACTTGCTTTTCAGTTCAGCCTTGGGCCCTTCGACTATGTACTTAGTCACGTTGTATAACGAGCAAAGGACACTACAGTGGTAACCAGGCACTACAATCCAATCTTTGGCTACGGCAGGTGGATAAGAGAATGCAGAAGTGTGATACTGAGGTTTCCTTCCAGTTCTCTCTATCCTAGACAATCTGCAGTCTGGGCTGGGCTGCAGTTATAAATGAGAGCGACCTGACCACTGCTCTCTACTGATGCCTCCTTGGTGCCCATACAGTTGTCAGTGGGTTGTGCAGTATAAGAAACACATCCTCGTTCCTCAGAGTAGACTGGCAACAGGGAGTGAATGGTGGGATCCTCCAGCATCTGTGCTGGGCATAGGGTGAGTTGGCATGGTTTGGTGGGAGGCGAGCAACTATACCATGCTGCAGGAGAGAACCTGGACCTGTTAATTTCTTTCAAATCCAATTACAATGACAGTGACTGTTTCTATTGAAGCATTTGAAGAGGAAAGAGCTTCACCCCTACGGTATATTTTTAGGAAGAAAAAGGTTTTCATTCATCATAGGTGAACCACATAAATTACCGTGTGCCAACCATCCTGGCCAAGAAGTTAAAGCTGCATAATTTCCATGGGGTTTGTTAACCTGACTCTTTAAGTTTCAAGAGTTTTAGAAAGAAGAGAGAGCATCTGTGTGCTTAAACAGTAGATGAGAGGCGATGCTACATGGTAGATCAAAGCCAGTAATTAAAAATATATCTTATTGATTTCACCTATTTTTTTGTTCACGTAGTGGATATAATTTTCTCTAACATGTCATTCAAAATCTCCCTTCGAGCAGTTTTTGCAAATTTAATTAATGGCTTGAAATTTCATATTCAACAGCTAGACTTAGTTCTGGCTTGTTACACAAATCAGCAGCCCTCACCTCATTTCATAGACTCATAGAAAATGCGGGTTGGAAGGAACCTCAGGAGGTCACATCTAATCCAACCCCCTGCTCAAACAGGACCATCCCCAGCTAGATCATCCCAGCCAAAGCTTTGTCTAGCTGGGTCTTAAAAACCTCCAAGAATGGAGACTCCACAGCCTCTCTGGTAACCTGCTCCAATGCTTTACTACCCTCCTCGTGAGAACGGTTTTCCTAATATCTAACCTAAACTTCTCTTGCTGCAACTTGAGCCCATTGCTCCTTGTTCTGTCATCTGCCACCACTGAGAACAGTCTGGCCCCATCCTCTTTTGAACTCCCTTCAGGTAGTTGAAGGCTGCTATTAAGTCTCCTCTCGATCCTCTCCCCTGCAGACTAAATAAGCCCAATTCTCTCAGCCTCTCCTCATAAGTCATGTGCTCCAGCCCTCCAACCATTGCCATTTCCCTTATTCCCAGACTGGATGACTGTAGATCTCATGCAATCAGGAGTCTAGAATAAATGCCTGCAGAAAGCATATTTGAAATACTAACAGCCACGTTTTACAAGTGAAAAATGCACAATATGTGCCTTGTGAAAGAAGCTTGCAAATGCCTATTATTTAAGCCAACAAATGTTTCAGTCCCCATGTTGTACATGCTAGTTTGGCCTCTTTCAATAATGAAATGTCTCCTGTATAAATATACATCAGTTTTATTCTTAGAGCTCATGATTAGGAAGTCCTGGTGAAAGAACAGCCGGGATGTTGACATAACACTTTGTACTGGGATTAACATTTATGGACAAATGTTTGGCAACTAGGTTTATGCCCCACAGTTGTGTTATTGCTTATTTGTTCAGTATTTTTTTAAGTCATTTAGTTCTTGTTACCAGCAGGTTCAATTTGCATCTCTGCAGTTGGCAACCAACTTCCCCTGGCACCACCTCTGCTCTTTCAGACCACTTTCAAGCCATTAAAGGTAGTTGCACATAATTTGCTGATACAAGCCAAAAAGCAAAGTCAACATCTCATGAAGCCCTATGCCAAAAATAATAATAATAATAATGCCTCTTAGCTCTTTCATCATTAGATCTCAAAGCGCCTTCATAGGAGGTATCTTTAGCCCCATTTTGCAGACAAAGAGATAAGAGTGAACCCTGGTATTTCTCAGATTAGCAAACCTTTTTCCCCAGATGTGCTCTAAAGCCCATTTGAAGCTGATTAAAAGACATATACGGATTCTGGCAGGCCTTGGAGCAGGCTCTTTATGGCATACTATGAAAAAACAGTAACTTGAGAACCTCTCATCCCTGCCCCTAGCATCTAACATATTGAGAACTGAGGGCAGGAAGGCTTTAGAGAGTTTCAAAGATTTAATCCCCATTATGAGTCTAGACTCTCGCCCCTGCCCGTATGAAATGAATTATGACTGATGCCAGTTTGTTTGCGATGGAGGGCCTTGGGGCACCCGCGCAGAGCCAGCTTCTAAGTGTTTGTTTCAGACGTTGTTTGTATGATTTCTGCATTTGTCTACTGCTTCAGTCCCCGGTAGGGAGGAGCACAAGAAGAACTTGCTCCGAGATGCTCCCAGATGGATGGCTCCGTGCTGCAACGACTGCTGCTGTAGATTTAAGCCTCTGAGCTTTCTACTTGGCTCAAATTAGAATGAATTGCAGCCTGGACCCAATTTAAACTGGGAGCCAGAGGTTAAATACCTGTAAATGAAAAGTTACCTTTCCTCGAGCGAGCATGGCCGGGAAATGTCCACAAGGCTATTTATCCTAGGCAGCATGGAGAATGCTCTGCACTCAGCCCGGAAGATATGCACGCTCGCTCAGTCGCACTCTTCCTCTCTCTCAGGCGCACACGCTCCCCCTTTCAAAGGAGAACCCAATCACAGTGAAAACACAGCATTGCTGTCCGGTTTTCCTTTCCTTCATCTGGCGCACAGCTCCAGTGAATAGCATCCCAGGCCGCGAGGCGGCAAGAATTGTTCACCTATGAACCTTTTTGCAAGTGCGTTTTCCAACATTACCTTTACAGTTATCCTTCTCTGTTACCTTTATTGTTCTCTTCGTACCGCCTCTCTCCAATGGCACGTACCATTCACCTTTCCCACTCAGCCGTCTCCCTCGGGATAGCAAACGGTTACTGCGGTTTGAAATGTATATCATGACAATGCTTCACAGCACCAGGTGAGGCCTTTTGGACTGGGTGCTGCATATGCCCTTAGGCACATGTGTGAATTAAAGAGTATTTCTTACATTGCAGAACACCATTCCCCACAAACTGCCATTTCTTGCCTGCAATAAACCCCTCTCCCCAGTTCCTCCCCCCACAAAAATAGTAGGTATCTAAGAACTAAATCTGAGGAATAAACTCCTGTCTCGATATGACTGGAAACAGGTGCTTATCTCTCTATTAAGATTATTCTCCTACGTCCCCTCCATATGGCATACATTCTCCTTAAAACACTGGATGGAAAGGATTTTACAAGGTCCTGGCTGTGAAGGTCATTTTGGGTTATGCATGGGGTGGGGATCTCAGCTGGTATGAATCAGCAAAGCTCAACGGGGCTAGACTGGGCTGAGAATCCAGCCCCTTAACTTTGGGAGCTGGCGCCTTTCCCCGTCTGCTCTGCACATATGGACCACTACTCATGTTGAGTCCAAATCTCCCAGTGGTTGCACTGGTGAGCAATTAACACATCAGAACAACAACAGCTCTGCATCAAAGCCCAGCTGTTCCTAGGTTTCCTCTAGCGTCCGCTGCGTTATGGTAGCACCTCGCAGCACCGGCCAAAATCAGGGCCCTGTTGTGCTATGTGCTGGGCGCCCACGCAGTCAGTTTGCCATTTACTTCAATGCGCCCTCTCCAAGCTGAGCCACAGGATTACCAGCCGGCATGCCGTGACAGCGGGCTTTGTCCCAGAGCTCGCAAACTGATCTGACCAGCCAGCGACAGGCACTGTCATCGGTCCTGCTCCAGAAGGGGAGAAACAGGATGCAACCCACAATCTTCACAAGGCCACACGGAGCATCGGTGGAGTTCGTGTACCCCTCGGGTCCTTGCAAGGGCCCTGTCTGTATCCACTGCTGCGTGCAGGACAAATAAAGCTTAGCTAGCAGCAAATGAGCAAGCTCGGGTCCTGGCAGCAGCAAAGCTTGGGCTGAGCTCCATAGCTTGTGTAGGTCTACAGTCAATGCCACAACTGCCTGAGGACATCCCCTCTGCCTGGGAAAGCTGCAGCCTCTAATATTGGACAGCCGCCAGCAGAGCCCAAAAGGGAGCTTTCCTAAGTCCCCACCTGAGGCATAAACCATTGGACTTCTTTGGTAAGCTTATAGCTCTTGCCCCAGACCTATGCCCACCTCCAAGAGGCAACAAAAGGCTTCCACTGCAAATCAAAAGAGCTCCTTTTCTAGCGCCTCCAATGCCTATTAACAGGGCAGTGTTTTTCAGGCTACGGCTGCCAGCCTGCAGCAAAGCCCAAGCCAAACCTTGTCCCTGGTCTCCGAGCTGACCTGACTGCACTGCTTATTCTCCTAATAATAATGCAGATTTACAGAAAACGAGGCACAGAGTAAATGTTCGGGCTTTTTGCTACAATTTGCAGCACAATGCTACGTGGAAATAGATACAAATCAGCCCACTCCAAGCTCTGGCAGAGACCCATAGAAACCGGAAATGGAAAAGACCTATTTGATCATCTTGCTCAACTCCCCTCCAGGGCAGGATTGTTCTGCATATGTGCCTTATAACAAAGAGCTGGCATCTGACAAAAGAAGAAAAGACTCAGAGTCTGAAATGCATTTAAGCATGTTTCTCAGAAGGATTTAAACATTTATCTTGCTCCATTACTGATTTGAAAGCCTGTGTCTATGTTTTTCACTGGAAAACACTACCCAAGTTGGAAGCTGATGAATGGAGGAGTCTGGCTCATTAAAAAAAAACCCAACCAAGTCATTTCATACTTCACTGAACCCTTGCGACTCCTCCAGGCAATCTCACATGGGCCAGCTTTGTAGGGTAGCGTCCTTGACATGAGCTTCACGGAGGTCGGTGTGATGCTTGGTGATGTGGGGCCTCCACCATAGGACATGCTGCTCTTGCAGGATTATCTGAGTCCACAGCCCTTTTCTGCCAGACTAAATACCAAGACTGATTTCCTGGCTCCATGGTGAGTAGCCAAGAAACCTCAGTGAAGCCAGGATTTAACCTTCTGGGAATAATTGTAATGATGTGGCAAAATAGCTCCCACAATAACTTTATCTCAAGGCCTCCACTCCCTTTATTAATGTGAATTTTACACATGGCATGTGCCATAACTAAAAAAAACTGGAGTAACAACAGCCTTGTAATTAAGACTTTGGATTTGAATTTAGGAGACCTGGATTCAGTTTCTGGCTCTGATGCAGACTCCCAGCATGACCATAGCCAGATCCTCAACGGTGCCTACACCTCACTGAAACCCTTGTGAGTTAGTACCTAAATACCCTTTATGATCCGGTCCACAGGATCTCTGTGCCCGTTCCCCGTTTGTACAACGGGGGTAATGGCGTTTCCTCTGTTTGTCTGTACTATTCAGGCTACAAGCACTTCGGACCAGAGAGTATTTCACATGTCCATACAGTACCTTGAATAGCAGGGCCCACATGCTGAATGCAATGTCAAGGTGCTGCTACAGCCCAAATACATACAAATGATAGCATGTGTTTGGCAAAGATGCAATGAGGAGGTAGCACCAACATGATCTAACCCAGAGCCATCAACATGTACCAGCCTGAAATGGTAGACAACGCTGTACAACAGAAAATATTTACTGGGCTGCATAATCCTAGGCTGGTCCCTTTAATACTCACTAGCGCAGAAGCACAGCTGGGAAGCTGAGAATGAACATACGATGTGCAAATGCAGGATTACTGATTATAAGGACAGATGAAAAGTGGAGATTTATGTCAGTATTAAAATTAATTAGGATCCCAATGCTAAACTTGTACAGGGGAGGCCAGATTCTCATCTGACATAAATCAACAATCACTGCCAGTGTCAGTGAAGCTACACCACTTTGCACCCTCTGGGGACCTGGCCCTGAGTCTTCTGCATTAAGTTGTAGCGCGGGACCCTGCCGTAGCACAAACTGTACTTTTTTTCAGTGCAGTTTGATAAGAGCCAAACTTCCTTTCTAGTGAACTGTCAGTGAGTAGCACAAGTTATTTTAATGGCTACATCACTTCAAACAAAGCTTTTACCATCTGTTCTACCCTCTAATTACAAATGCAAAAAAGGACATAATTCACAATCAAATCATATAAAAAGGGGGAAAGAATGAGCAATTAAAATGCACATTCAGCCAGGCAAATCAGATGCTCCTTCCATACTGCTTGAGCAAAGGTGCCTCGAGTATTGCTCCTGCCTATTAGGGTTTGGATAGCAAATGTTACCAGACTGCCGGGGACTGAACTCCAGGCTGGTTTCTGATGACTTCATCCCCTCGCTATAGATAACTCTCCTTGAGACACCATTCACTAATAATATATCGGAGGCCAAGTTGGCCATATGTGTTACTAGTGATTTGCTAGCAGGGACGATCGTGTCTTCTGGACGGCACGGACAGATATGTCTTTGTTACTTTGTGTGATGCCAATTTCCTCTGGTTTTCTTATAGTCCATGAATAAGAGCCAAACCATGGGATACACAGGCGATGACTGCTGAGCATTCACCTGCATTTCATGGAAGAATATCAAGCAGCCAAATTCACATGGTATGGAAATTTTCTGGACTCTGAAGTTGCACCAAGGGAGTCTGTATATGCCCTGTGCAAACTGTTCATTAACACTGGGACACCCTCTATCACTTTGTACTCTGTATCTAGCAGGTTCAAATTTCAAGCTGTCTTCCCTACACTCAGGTGGCCCCCAAAGGCCTCTAATCTGGCCACAGATACCCTGCAAAGAATCTCTTGGTGAGAAATTCCCCACTGGAGCAAGCATCCAAGATCCAGGCTCACTATTTGCATTCCTCCTTCTCTACCGAACTCAACAAAAGCGATGTCATGGAGTGATTCCAGTTGTCCACCAGTGTAGGTCATTAAAGAACTTGCACCCACCCGGCCCAGTGGCTACTCTAAGATACACCAAGTCCAGTCACCAGAATCACAGACACCTGCTCTGTATCTCTCCTGCCCCACCAAAAGTTTTGGTACAGGAAAGAATTTAGCGTAGCATATCTGGGAATTAAAAGCAGGATTTTACTGCAAGAATTCAGTGCTTTACATTGGTCAGGTATCCAGGTGGTAGCTGTATTAGTCTAGAGGTAAAAGCAATCTGGGCTCATACAAGTGCTTTACGTTGATACTTGAAGAGCAGCCAGGGAGCCATCACACTAGTTCCAGAGCGAACAGCCTGCAAGTCTTTCTTTTCAGACATACCTCCCCCTTTCTAGTGCAGGAAGAAAAGACCACTTTTGAGAGAAGGAGATCCAGTCCCTAGCAGTTAGCTACATCCATAGCAACTAAGAACCAGTCTCAATCAGATCGTAATTCCCTGAAATCCAAAGTGGAGAGGTAACACACTCTACCTTGTCTTCCTCATCCTGGCTGCCTCAGAGTTTTCCTTCACAGTTCTCAAGATCCCTGCCTGCTTATATTTATCAAGCCACGAGCAAGGTACATTTGGATGCTATTTATATTAGGATACGCATAAAGGAATTCCCAGCTGGTGGCTCGGAACGGGTATTAAATCGTCCCCTCCAGTTTTCCTTCCAGCCATCTGCCACATTTCAACTATGTTTACTTGCAAGTCATGCCAGTGCTCAAAGCAATGCAGGTCTAAGAGCTAAGTCTATACGTAATCTATACCTATTTTAAGAAAATGATAATACACATTCAGCAGTCACAAAGATTACATACTCAAGGCTAAACCAAAGCAGAACTCCTCCGCAGTAGCATGTAGAGATGAACATTTGAAATCAAGCTTTCGACAAGAGTTTTGAAAAATGCTATGATGATTATGAAGGGGAAGGTGGTAACAGGGGTGAGGTCTGGGCAATCCCTGCACACCACACCAATGCAAAAAGCAGCTCAGAATGGAGGGCCCCCGTGATAAAGTTTTCTGGTTGCCCTCTTGGCTTTTCTTGCCTCTGCAACAAGTCTCCAGCAGTACATTAGAAATGCCGTATTTCCTAACTTATTTTTAAATGGCTTCCTTTGACAATGGACAGTGACTCAAAAAACATTATCTCCTTGCCCACTGCTCAAAGCTGCAATTCTAGGCCTCCTTCAGGAAGGGAAGGGCAGGGTTTCCAAGTTCTGTTTTAGTCTTACATTACTTTTCTGAGGCTGAATGGCAGCTGTGATTTTGGACTAATCAATGCACTCAGTAGAGATGAGCTGGATCTCAGACACGAATGAATAAGAAACAGCAAACTGATCGGCTCAAGAAGCCACATCTGTCCAGTAAGCCAAGGCAGATCTGCTCACCAGTCCCACCAGTATGTAGTTAGGTTTGGAATATGAAGGCAGCACTTATTTACTGCATTTGGCTAGGCAAATATTGCAGGTTACCCCGAGCTGTTTCACATGACAAGGACTGGGGAACTGAAATCCAAGGAGTTACTCAGCTCACCCCAAGGAGTTATTCAGCTCACAGCTCAATATTTGGTCCTTACCATCTGCCTTCAATCTGGTATCCCATGATCACCTCTTGGCAAAACTGGCCAATTGTGGCAGTCACTCATCATGGTGCCCTGTGACCAGTGGGGTCCCCAAAGGCTCTCTCCTTGGACCCATATTGTTCAACACCTTCATTAATGATGTGGACATTGGAGTCGGAAGCGGACTGGCCAAGTTCGCCGATGACACCAAACTTTGAGACAAAGCATCCACGCCAGAAGACAGGCGGGTGATCCAGGCTGACCTGGACAGGCTCAGCAAATGGGCGGACAAGAACCTGATGGTGTTTAACACCAAAAAATGCAAGGTTCTCCACCTTGGGAGGAAAA